CAAACAAAAAAATATAGCTGCACTATGAAGCGCAGCGCATACACTTGCATATGAATTGTTTGATACAATTGAGATACCCTACTAAATTACATTCGCATAATGATGTTATTGGAGCTGCAAACTTGCTCTTCCATGCCCTCTTTCCCTCTCTCTGATTCGCTCTTTCTTCCACACTCTCTGCTCTTTCCACTATTTCACCCTTGTTGCTGGGCAGATGCCGCCGCGCTCAATTGCGATCAATCTGTTGCTCGCGTTGTTGTTGATCACGCTCCGATATTGAGTGCAATTATATGTCTCAGTGTATGCATGTGTGTATGTGTGTGTGTGTGCTGCCTTTTAGGCAGTGGCACGGAGCGATCATCAACATTCTTTTTGGAATAGGCAAAGCAAAATTGATCGATGCTCGCTAATGTCGTTGTTGCTGTTGCTATTTGTTATTATTATAATTACAATTAAAGTGAAGCGACTGCGACGTTGTCACAGCAACAACAACAATCACAGCTCTGACGTCGACAGTAATGGCACCAAAATCAAACAAAAACAAACAAACTAACCGCACGAACCGAACGAACCGTTTCGCCCGCTCGCCCGGTGGTCGATCCAATCGCAATGTGGAAGACAACTGCGTCGCCGTCGAAACTCAACTGCGAACTATAACTGCGATAACGACGTCGACATATGTAGCTGGTGCTGCTGCTGCTGCTGCGCTGCCATTACCTCTGCCGCTGCTATTGCCATCCCCGTTAACGATTTTCGCTCTGCGCGCATTTGGCGAAATGGACGCCAGCGTCCGCCTGTGTCGTCATTAGCGACAGCAACGTGAGCGTCGACGTCGCGACGCCGACTTCATTTGTTTGCTTGGCTTGTTCTTGTTGCTGTTGGCCGTTGTGGGCTGTCGGCATTTGTCGGTTTGTCTGGTTGGAGTCTTATCAGAGCGCAGCCAAACAACGCAAAGTTTTGCGGTTCTGATAACGTGATGGCCGTCCCCCCAGCTATTAGAACGAACAGCAATAAGACCTGTACGACTGCCCCAGTCGATCATGTTAACACAGCTATCGGTGATCGACTATCGATTGATGTGGCAATATGACCGAATGATAGGTCCCAGTACTCCATGCTGCTTATCGCTTATCGGCTAACGATTATTGACTATCGACTGCTGGCTGCTTACTTTGAAATGGCTATCGATTATCGATTATCGACTATACATCATTGACTAATTACTATAAACTATCGACTATTGGCTATTGAGTGTTAAGTTTAAGCTATCGACTATTGTCCTTTAACTATCAAGTAATCGACTGGCTATCAACTATGATCTAAGGACTATTGACCATCGAATATCGAATATTGACTATCGACTGTCAACTATTGACTTTTAATTATTCGCTATCGGAGTGAGAAAGACAGAGAGTGAGGGATATAAACAAATAGAATGAGAGAGAACGTGAGAGACAGAGTGGGAGAGCGAGAGAGAGAGAGAGACAGGGACAAAGAAAGAGAGCGAGAGAGAAAAAGAGCAAGAGAGAGAGATAGAGACAGAGTGAAAATGCAATAGAGAGAGTGCATGTGAGTAACAGAGAAAAAGACAGAAAGAATCGAATGTAGAAAAATAGAGCGACAGACAGAACATTAATATGAACATAATTACATTGTGATCTAATGCAAGAGCGAGACAGACAGCTAATGCGCTTCCCTTATGGGCGTAGCTCTCTTGTTGCAGTTTTATTTGATCTTTCGCAAATATGAAAAGTTTTCCTGAATGCGATTCTTTGATTTGCAATGGAATTTGTCGCTATAAACAGGTGAAGAGGGAGAGAGAGAGAGGGGGGAGGGGAGGCAGGGGCAGACACATGTGGGGCATATTTTTGTTGATATATGCACTCAATTTTCACTGGTTGTTGTTGTTGTGAGCTAAATGCGTCAATTAAATAAAAAATATACAGAAAGCGCGCAGCTAGAAAGCAGAGAGAAATGTTGACAGCCAAATACAGATGCAGAAACAGATACAGATAGAGATACATACATATGCACACCCACACCTGCGTGTCACTGTGTGCGTGTGTGTGTGTATAGAAATTATTAATAAATTATGATTTTGGATGACACTATAAATCGCACGAATCTACAGGCAAATAGCTAAGTGTGTGTGTGTGTTGGGGTTTGTGATGCTAATCAACAGCGCGTTGAGCGATTTAAAACAACAACAACAACAACAACAACAGCAACAAACACAAGTTAAGCCATTGAAACGATCTAACAAATTCAATATGAGGCACTCAAATCTATCTATGCATCTATAGAATCATTGCCATCTATGTATAGCCAATGTCCGTGTATGCACATACAAATGTGCGTGTGTGTGCGTGTGCGTGTGCTTGTGCGTGTGTTATAAGTAACCCATCTGTATAAAGCGCAAGTGTTGTGCGCTATTTTTGAAATCTTTAATTTAATTTATTCCTCTTTGTTTTTTTTTGTTTTGTTTTTTTTTTTTTTTTTAATTTTTATTAGCTTCTTTAATGACATTTCGCTGGTTTTGGCAGCCATTTGCCACACTGTGCCCCGCCACCCAAGCCCAATCGAAGCCAACGCAGCCAATATATATCCACCATCGAGCACTCTACAAAGTCCATCAGTGGCTGCTTGTCCGGCCTGTTACGTGGGCTCATTAAGAATTTTTAGTTTTTAATTGACAAACGAATGCGAGAAAATAAATTAATAAATAAATTGAAAGCAAAAACAACAACTTAAGAAATTGCCAGCGAATAGATTTGATATATATATATATATATTTATTTTCGATATTAGAATCTTTGAAATGCGCCAAAAAGATGTCAGGGGCTAGAAATTGGAATGCTAAAGCAATGTTGACAGCGAGTCCAACTATTAACGGATCCAAATCTGTGTGTGTGTGTGTGCGTGTGTGCCGTGCAAATTGTTGGCCAAGAAAATATCAAGGTGATACGATAGCTGAAAGCTCTACATGAAAGTTACATCAAGCGATATTAGCAGGCTCATCAGATAACTAAATATGCTCATAACTCATCACTCATTACTCATTATGCACTGCGAATGACGATTGGTCCACACAAATTGGAGCGTTGAAGTTGGGTTTACTTAGATACGCGTTATTACTGAGCATATTTATTACTCGTTGTTCATGACTCATTGCTCATTACTAATTACTCATTACTCATTGCTCATTACTCATTGCTCATTACTCATTACTCATTGCTCATAACTCATTACTCATTACTCATTACTCATTACTCATTACTCATTACTCATTACTTATTACTCATTACTCATTATTCATTACTCATTATTCCTCACTCATTTATCATTACTCATTATTATCATTTACAGAAAATATTTAGAACATAGACTTAAGTGTTATATTATTGGGTATACCCAGTGAAAAATGGAGTATAAGCATATATATTAAGTATACGTATTGGCATACCCAACATCAATAATCTATACTCAAGAAATATAAATGAAGTAAACTAGTTGAAGTATTCAATAGGAGTCACTCAATTTTTGTCAATTTTTAATAACTATAAAATTATGGAGTACATAATACCTATAGTACATAATACTTAATCCGCAAGGAGTTCGAGTTGTACTAGCGAGGCCATACTGTACCCATATCGAGTAAGCTACATTAGATGCCTTCCGGTTTTCGAAGAGTTTTCATATGTTTTTGAGGAAATATCAAGTCCCAACTCAACTGAAGTATTACATCCATTTTGATTAATCAAAGTTGTCAAATTTTGATGGGTTTATTAGATAATTACATATGTACGCAAGCCATGCAAATGAACTAAATAAACTAGCTGAAATAAAGTTATCTAGTTTTTGTGGCTCATTTTCCGGTCGCTCATAAACATGTTCAAGGGCAACTCGGGCCTCGTCACGGCACGATTTATAAGTCATCCGATCGTTAGCTTTATTTGTCGATTTAATTTAATTTAATTTATGCTTCCCACTTTGCTCAAATATTTTTTATAGATATATATATATATATATATATATATATATATATATATATATATATATATATATAGTATATTCTAAATATATATAAATATAATATATATACATCTAATTTTTTTTTTGACAACGTGCAGACTTTTATTAGCACCACGCTGTCAAATGAACGAATCTTGTTTATTTGCGCATGGAAAATAAATAATCAAAATATGCCAAGAACATATGAAGTCTTGGCTAACTGAGAACGGAAAGCCAAGAAAGCGAGAAAGAGCAGCTCGTTCAGTCGTGCGAGGCGCAACAGTTAGTCTATGCAGACCTGGTAGCTGCTAGCGACTGTCGCCCCGCCTACCTCCTGTTTCACTGACTAAGTCAAGGGCAACGTAAGCGGCCAAAGTCCAGCTGTGCTGCGGGTTAAAGGGTTTAAGCTGCTGCTGCCGCTGCTATTTCGCCGCTACAAACCACAAAAGCTTAACTCTCAATCTGCTCGGTTGGTGTGTGTGTGTGTGTGTGTGCTTGGAGCCTTGTTACCTACATTTGATTTGGCTAATATTTAATGGCTGTTGCTTGTTTTTATGCACATTACTTATTTGTAGTAGCGAACACACGCACGTTCAGTGGGCACGGGGCCACAACAATGCGGCGATAATATAACGGTAAACATGTAAACAGTACGACGCGTCACTTACAATACGAAACGAAATGGAAGTGGAACCGAAACCGTAACTGAAACCCAAACCGAGCAACGTACGCGCAGCAAGCGCTTAAATGTTTACCGTTGTCGCTGCTTCTGCTGCTGTTGCTGCTATTGCTGCTGACGACGCGCCATACGATTCGTCCTGCCCGACGACGTGCGTGCTAATAAAACGCCGACGTTGTCGAGGCGGTCAGGTTGCGGCTGCCAGCGCTGTCTGCTGCCGCGGCTGCTGCTCGCTTTTAAGCGAGCCCCTAGCAATTGAGTCAGATCTCAAGCGAATTGAGTCCACTCGATTTAGTTGAGTTAAGTTGAGTTGAGTTTTACTATGGCCATTGAGTTTCACTCGCTAACCGAGTGCCACTCAACAGCATGTTTATTGTGCTCTCTTCATGTACACGCACACAGGCACACGCACGCACATGCATTCGCATACTCGTACACACACATATACACGCAACCCTGGCTAGCGGTCAATTACAGTAGGTTTGCGGCTTATTCACTATTTGCATGGAATTGTTTTGTCGGTGGAGCTCTGCGACTTCGCCTCCTCAAAGAAGAGCTTGAGCATATCGGGCCTCAGCAGCTGATCGCCATCTAAACGCTCCGAGTTGTTCCAGCGCAAGAGCGCGGGTATAACGGTAAGATTGTAGGGCGACAAGCGAAATTTATTAGCTGGTGATTTATCCTTCCAGGCGGCTCGGTTGCCCACGTCAACCGTATAGATCAACGAATTTGGATGGGAATATTCGCGAAATGCCGTCTCCACCGCATCCTCAACTATAGAGACGAATTGTATTTAATTCGCGTGCAAATCTGTAAGATGTGAACACACTCACCCGCCACACAGTCAGGACACCAGCTACGACCCTTGCTGTCCTTCTCACCAAAGAAATACATATAGATGAGACAGTTGTTCTTGGCGTGCACTTTCAGTGCATCCTCCAGTTGCTCGTAGCCCGTTATTGGCACGTATTGTGGCATCCTATTGCTTGGTGCGGCTCCGCTCAATTGCTTGTTGGTTAACTTACTTACTGATTGTACGATAAGATTTCTTTGTTTCTGATAAGCTTTATACCTGGCTGCTTTTACAGCCACCAAATAGGTCTAATTTACCAGCGACAGCAACAACAAAAACAAAGGGGCACTTAGACTTGCCGGCAATTTATTATTTTCAGTTGTGCGGTCACACATACATACTAGCCTTATATTGGTATTTTTTGTTTTGGAGTTAACTGGTGCGTTATTGTGCATTTAATACTGTATATAAGCCTCTTCACAATAGTTGGCAATGTGCATTGTGCAAGGCATTGCGCGGCAATTTGAAAAAAAAATTTTTTGAAATTATTTTCGAAAATTTTTTGTGACACATATAAGCGAATGTGATAAGATAAGATTGGTTGTATATGTAAATATGTATATGTGTTTAAGTTTGAGCAGATGGTTGACTTTTTGTTTGTTTGCCTTTTCTTTTAAGTAGACGTTTTAGGCATAGTTTTATATAGTTATATATATATATATATTTAAGTACATATATATTCCATATACATAACGCGCAATTCTTTTTTTTATAGTATTAACTGTTCTTTTCAGTTCTGCAATTGATTTTGGTTTACTCGTTCGCCTTTCCATGCGCTTCTCTAGACCAATTCGAACGGTTTAAGCATGGCATTGCTTTACCGACAGCTAACTCTCGTTCAGTGTTTGTTTCTCTTTCGCACTGCCATAGCCAACGCCTTTCTATGCGCTTCTGTGTGACCTTGCGCTGCTTATAAGATTTCGTCTTCAATGAAAGCCGAAGCTTTTCTAGAGTTTCCAAGATTCTGGGTATTGTGCAACGCATAGCGAAACGCAGCTTTCGATCGCCCTGACCCAAAATCGCAGCTGCTAAACTTGAACTTCACAGAGCTCGAGCGCAAAAAGTGCAGACGTCGTCAACTCCATTCCCATAAAATGCGAGAGCCAACAATCAGCAGTAAACAGAACTCAACGGCGTTCCAAAGATGGGTGAGTACATCGCGCATGGAATGGATTTACCCAGTTTGCAGCTGACAAATTTCTTTTGCAGCGAGCAATCAGGGTTTGAGGTCGATGCTGCTGCTGGCGGCGCTGATGATTTTGGTGGCGCAGCAGCTGGTGGCAGCCAGCAAGATAGCCTACAAGAAGCCGTTGCATGGCAAGCTGAGCCACTTCAAGGATCGTCGCTTCAGGCCGCGCACGACGAGCAGCCCCGCGGTGAGCAGCACGGAGCCGGCCGATTGGCCAGCGCCCGTCGAGTTCATCATCAATAGCAGCACACCCAAGGCGTTGCCGAAAGAGGAACTGGTCGAGAGCAGCACCAGCAGCAGCTGCACCAGTACTCCCACTCTGGAGCAACAACGGCAGGAGGAACTGGAGGAGCTGCAGCTGGAGCCGGAAATGGGTGTGGAAGCGGACAGCAGCTCGACGACCACCACGCCCAGCAGCATGGACAACACGTTGGCTTCACCGCCCACGCCGGCTGTAGTGGAACAGCAGCAGCAGCCAGTGCCCTGCACCTGTGGCGTCTTTCTCACATCGCAAATCAAGAACGGATTGCCCGAGACGCCGCTCATACACAACGAAATGGATCGCATGTATCCATGCAATGCCATTGGACGCAAGCAATGTCAGACCAAATGCCTCGAGGCGGTGAGTTGCAACAACAAAGCATAGTCAAGCTATCGCCATCTCTCTCTCTCTCTCTCTTTCTATCTCACTCGCCGTGTAGATCGTGCAGCATTTGCCGAATTCGGCGAACATTGTTTGCGCCACACTAGGTCACAATTGCCACAAGGAGCGCGCCTATCTGTTCATCAAGAACTGCCAGAATGTGTGGGTCAACACGAATCTGCAGGCTGGTCGCGAATATTGTTGTAAAGAGGGGCTGCCCTATCGCTGTCCTTTGCTTGGCTAAGCTGACGCAGGCCACAAAATACTGTATTTAACCAATAATCTACCGCTGTGAACAATAAAGTCTTAAATAATGCAATCAAAAAACGCCAGTATGGCATTTTTAAAAAATACTTTTTATGATAGTTGATGGCACTTGGTATTTCAAGTTGTTGTCCATTTTTAGTGCATTGCTGTCAGTACTAAACGATATTCTGGTATATCAAATTGTCTGGCAATTTTTCGCTTCAAAACGTTTTAGTAGCATTTAATAATTTTTAATACCTTATTAACGTAAGATTATTCCATTAAAAATATGTGGCATAGTGCGAACGCAAAAAAAGCTCCGATAGATATTGTCGAAATTGCTATCGATAGATTTAAGCGTTTGGTTTTTATTTAAATTACAGTAGGCAAACTAAATTTAAACTTTTATAATTTTATCTTGTTTTCCAAAGTATGCTTGGAAAAAATGTTGTTGATTTTTCAGTTAAGTTTTTTTATAGCCAGTTCAGATTTAATTCTGGCAGTGAATACAACAAAAAAAATTCTTTCGAAAAGCACTGCTGTCCAATATTTTAATATATATAATTTATAATTTTTTTTTTTGTCTAAAATTCGTGTTATTTGCCAATTTGATACAAATGAGTTATAAATATATTCGAATATACTTTTGGATTGTTTTAATACTATCGCTAGTGCTCTTAGTGCGTAGTTTTATACTGTCATTATTCCGCCGAGGTGGTCACACTAAGCCAAACAGATTAGATTTTTGCTAAGGTGAGTTGCACTAAATGTTTTTCTAGTTAATTGTTGATTGTTTTTTTTTAGCAACTATTCGCAAGATGGTTTGCGTTCCATGCTTTATCATCCCATTGCTGTTATACATCTGGCACAAGTTCGTGCAGCCGATTCTACTGCGCTACTGGAATCCATGGGAGAAGAAGGATGCCGAGGGTAACGTAGTCAAGGCCGGGCCAGAGTTTCCGTTCGAGTGCAAAGGTGGAGTCTGCCCATTTGTGCCCGGCGGCAAGAAGGAGCTGCAGGCTGACGGGGATCGAGCTAGGGCTGGAGCCGCTGCAGCGGCTACTGCTGCTACTACTGCAACTGAACAATCATCGTCGAAACCCGAATCCGAATCCGAATCCAAGAAGATCATTTAAATTGTTTCATTTTTCTTTTGTCTTCCTGCTTTTTGCTTTGCTTGCTTTCGTGTGTGTGTGTGTGTGCGTGCGTACGCGCGCCCATTCAAAGCTAACATATGATTACACTGGTGGCACATATAGTAAGCACAGTGTGAATTCCAAATAATATACTTCAGACACTCGCACACAAAAGTAACTGTTCAAGATACACATTCACGTATATAAATATATATATATATATATATATATATATATGTAATAGACATATGCATGTATCTAATAAACACAAACTAAACCAAATAAGAAATGGAATAAGTAGATATAAAGATTGATTTGTTTAGGCTCTAAGCGTTTGGTATTTGACTATGCTTCGATAACATATATATTGCATATTTTAAGATATTTAGTTATATACTTTCTCATAAGCTAATGCACAGATTAAACAATAAAAGCAAATCGAATGATTGTCTGTTGAGCTCTACGAGTTAATATTTGGATCTGTATGCGAGGTACGTTGGAAGGCAGATGATCCAGTTCGAATGTGCACTCTGACCCAAATTATTGAAGATGGTATAAATTGCTAAGCTATTGCCAGACCAAGTTATATATATATATATATCTTTGTCAGATTTTCAGGTTCGATTGTTCTGTATCCACTTTTATTAAGCAACGATAGCAAGGCCCAACTGGATCTCATTTGAAGAACCTTCAGGCTTTATGATCAGAAGATTTTACACTTGCTCAGCTCTAACCAGTTGGGAATCCTAAGCTAACAACTTTAGATATCATTGGATGAGCACTTGGTTATCAAGTTGCTGTCAGCTTAGTCCGTGGGACGTGTTCAAACGTAAAGCTAAAATGGGTTTCAGAGAGCAGAGTCAACAACATATCATCTGCCCTGGCTGAGCTGTTGGGCCAAGCGTCACAGACTACAAGTAAAGTTAAGCATGAATAGATGTGCGTCTTCAGTGCTTTTATTTACTGCTCAAACGTAGCGATGCTTCCTGCTTTCATGGAGCTCTGAAGTCAGGGCTACTGCGTCACCACACTGCTTCGCAAATTTGATAGTCTCTTGAGTTCTCCTTTATGCGATACTTTTCGAACGCACCTCGTATGTTATGCTTAGCCGAAGCTCCTCCAACACTTCATATTTTCGAGTTATTAAAACAGTTTCTTGAATTTTGTTTTTAAAATAATTATTTTATATTTATTATGTCAAAAAAATTAGCATTTGCATTTCGGCAACGTGCATTTTGCGTGTTTCGTTCGCTGTTTTAAGTTAGGACAACAAAAAATTGTACAATTTACACATTAAGATTAAGAAAAAATAGCGCAGCAAAACTAAAAAAAAAAACAAAAAAAAAAAATACAAATAAAAATTAAGATGAAAATGTGATGAAAAAAAGACAAATTAATTGTTGCATATTTTTGGAAAATATTTGAATATTTCAATATTTCACGCGCTGCTCGCTAAAATTTTTATTCAATTTTATTTTCTTGCCTAAAGCCTAATTATATAAAAAAAAAACTTGGCGCATTTTATAGTTTATCATCATATATATATATGTATATATATTAGTGTATATATATATATATATATATATATAGTTATTGTAGGGGAAAAATCTTGTAATTTGTTGCGTCGTCAACTTAATTGAAACAATTATGAGAATCTTTTTACAATTTAAACTTAAGATTAGGATTTATATGTAGAGCTACATAGAAAATATGTGTGATTAAAAAAAAATAAAATATATATATATATATATATATATATATATATATATGTATATATATATATGCGTGTGTTATAGGCTTTCGTTCGATATAACTAACAATTTTGTTTATATAAGCACTTCAGTTGCGACAAAAGATTTTTGCCTTTGTTTTAAAACTTAATGATTAAACGTAGTCGAGGCTAAAAACTATTAAACTATTCATTATATTATGTCTTTTTTTTCGTTTTCATTTTGTTTTGTTGTTGTTGTTGTTGTTGCTGTTTGTCTCAATGCTTAAAAGCGTTGGCCGCTTATACAAATACAAATTACAAAATACAAAATACAAATTACAAATTACAAAATACAATTTAATAATGCATAAAAAATAATTTGCGCTAATTTAAATTGTTTACTGGAAGCAGCGACGTTTGCAAATAAATATTTCATATATATCAAAATATATATGAATATATATATATAAATATATATATGTATATTTATGATGTTAACTTCAATTCTATTTCGACATATCAAAAAAATGTTTATAAAACTTTTGCAAACTTTGCTTAGATGCTAAATTTCTAAATTATATATATACATATATATATATATGTATATGTGTAAATATAATTATATTTATATCTGTCACACATACATACATATATATATATATATTTATGCAATATATGATTTCAACGCGCACTGTACAACAAACATTAAAGTTAAACATTTAAATTACTACAATAATAATTATGTTTTTTTTTTTTTTGTTTTCTGTTTCATTTCTGTTTTAAATTAAAGCTTAGGTTCTAAGTTGAAAAAAAAATAAGGTGAGGAGCAGGTGCTGTGGTTGAGTTCTCGTTTCTTTTGCATTTGCTTTTGCTTTTGCTTTAGCTGGTTTGCGGAAGGAGTTGAAGAAGTCAATTGGGTCGCTCGCTGCGGCCCGGCGCCTGGCGCACTTTGAGTGGCCACACCTTCGTCCGTTCGCCTGCTAGCGGCGCTGGGGTCAAATGTAAATGGCCTCGGAGCCCTTGTTGGCCTGATGGCCGCCGGAGATGTAGAGATTGTTGGCCGCCGGCGACTGTACGCCTTCGGACCAATCCGAATTGCTGCGCGGCGACGACGACGACCAATGGCCGGGCGACTCGGGCGACGGTGTCGGATAGCTATCGAGCGTCTGCACCAGATGCTGCGGCGTATGTCCGCCCGAATGCTGGCTCGGCGGCGTTAGGTACTGATAGAAGGCCTGATTGTGCTGCGACGATGGCGACAACATGTTGGTCGACGGCGACGAGCCCGACATAGAACTTTGTATCGAAGGCGGATTCATTTGACCCGAGTGAAATGAGTCTGTGAAGTGAAAGTGTGAGTGCATGGATTCATGGCGAGCTGAGCTAGAGCTGCACTTACCCGGAGATCCACAAAATCCATTCAAGTCCAAACCGGCTGAACCGAACTCAAGGCCTCCAAGAGCTTGTTGCTGCTGCTGTTGCTGTTGCTGCTGCTGCTGCTGCTGTTGTTGCTGCTGCTGCTGTTGTTGCTGCTGCTGCTGCTGTTGCTGCTGCTGCTGTTGTTGTTGCTGCTGCTGCTGCTGTTGTTGCTGCTGTTGTTGTTGCTGCTGCTGTTGCTGCTGCTGCTGCATTTGCGGGGACAACGTTTGCATTATTGCACTGCTTTTAGCATTGTTGGAGGACTGAGGCGCCAGCATGATGCCCATATCGCTGCCCGTGGGCGAAATGATGCCCAAGCTGACGGGCGAGCCGTTGCCGTTGCCATTGCCGCCGCCCAGCAAGCTGTTCAGATTGCTGCCGAATTGCTTCTGCTGCGTGGCATGCCGCATCGCCTGTATGTGCGTCGGCGATGTGGGCAAGCTAGGCCGTGACTTGGCCGGCGAGGGTGAGCCTGCAAAAGGGTGAATAGAGAATTGCATTTCGTACCAAAAAGAATCCTTTGATTGTTCACTTACCCAGGTAGGCGTGCGGCGACAGTGCCAGGCTGCTCTGCACCGAGTGCGGCGGCGACTGATTCGAATAGGGCGGACTGAGACCCTGCTCGTGGCCGCCGTTGGGCAAACCGTTGCCCAGGCCGCAGAGCGTATTGGTGCTGCGTCCGCCGCTCAGGCCCAACGCCTGGCTGTTCAGCAGTTCCTGCTGAAATGGCGAGCCCATCGAGTAGCCATACGTGTCCAGCTTGATCATGTCCAGACTGTTCGCTGGCAGCGATTGCATCGACTGGGCATTCTGAAAGAGAGTTTAGATTAGAGATTCGATTTCTGTGGCATTTGTAGAGAGGCTGAGGCTCACCTTGATGCAGTCCTCATAGCTCGGCGGCTGTTTGGCGCCGTTGTTGTTGTTGTTGTTGGGCGGCGCTGCCATGGCATTCGAGTACATGGAGCTGGTGTCGTACGGGCTGGGCAGATTCACCAATTGCCCGTTGACATTGCCGTTGGCTGTTGCTGCCGCTGCCGACAGCGGCGGCGAGTCCAGATCTGTGCAATTGTTGCTGTTGCTGTTGTTGTTGTTGTTGTTGTTGTTGGCTGCCTGCGTCAGCAGCTGGGCAGCATTCAGAGCACCGTTCATGGCCTTTTTTGAGGCAGCGCTGTTGCCATTGTTGCCGTTGTTGTTGTTGTTGCTGGCCTTTTTTGAGCTCGCCTTGCGTCGCAAGCTGCCCATATTGGCAACAGCACCGGCGCCAGCCGACGCATCCAGCGCATTGTCGGAGCCATTGCCTTCGATTAGCTTGGCCTTCTTGGCCGCCTTCTGCTTGGCCGCCTGGCTGCTCTGCTTGCCGGCCGCACCGCCGGCCGCGATCACCGTCGGCTGCGTGATCAGCTGCGGCTGCTGGCCCGGCGGCGGCGAGCCGATCATCGCCTGCGGCGTCATGCTGATCATTTGTGGCGAGCGTGGCACATGCTCGTCCAGCAGCCGGACAATATCGTGATGCAGTCGCTCGCTGGCCACGTCGCGGGGCAGACGATCCATGTGATCGGTGATCTCGCGATTGGCGAAATTGTCGAGCAGCGCCTTGCATGCCTCGTAGCTGCCCTCACGTGCGGCCAGAAACAGCGGCGTCTCGTCCTTGTCATCCTGGGCATCCCGATTGGCGTGATGCATGAGCAGAATGTTAACGGCTTCGGTATTGTTGACGGCAGCGGCCCAGTGCAGCGCCGTCTTGCCCGAATTGTCGGCGGCATTGATGTCCGCATCGGCCGTTATCAGATCCTCGACCATGCCCTCGATGGCCAGGCGGGCGGCCAAAATCAGTGGCGTGGTGCCGTCATGCATGCGTGCATTCAAATTGGTGGCGCGATTGCGCAGCAGTATCTGAAAGACGCCCATCGCATCGGCGGCAACAGCTGCATGCAACGGCGTCCGTCCGGTATTGTCCTGGCAGTTGGCATCGGCGCCAGCATCGAGCAGACGCTTGGCCGCATCGGCACGCGCATAGCGCGCCGCCAAGTGCAGCGACGTCTCGCCCGTCTTGTCCATGGTGGC